CACACACACACACACACACACACACACACACACACACACACACACACAAAACTTCCTCCTCCTCAGGAAAACTCCAGAGTCCCAAGACACACACCCCAGCTTAGTTACTAGGGCCTGGTCTACACTAAAACATTATATCAGCTTAACTACGTTGCTCAAGGCTGTGAAAAACCTACACCCCTGAGCGGTGTAGCTGACCTAAGTCCCTGTATAGACAGCCATAGGTTGATGGAAAAATTCTTCTGTCACCTAGCTACTGCCTCTCGGGGAGGTGGATTACCTACACCCGTCAGCAGCGCAGCTGTGGCTAGCAGCTGCAGCATTTCAAGTGTAGATAAGCCCTCAGCCAAGCAAACACAACAGAAAGTCTGCCAATGTCCTGTGACTGCAGTCCTATGTTAACAAGCCACTTCACCTTGAATTGCTTTTCACCTTGAATGGTCCCTTAGAACAGGGGCTCTCAACCTTCCCAGATGATTGTACCCCTTTCAGGAGTCTGATTTGTCCTGCGTACCCGCAAGTTTCACCTCATTTAAAAACTACTTGCTTACAAAATCAGACATCAAAATACGAAGTGTCACAGCACACTAGTACTGCACAATTGCTTATTTTCTCATTTTTGCCATATAATTATAGAATAAATCAATTGGAATATAAATACTGTACTTACATTTCAGTGTATAGTCTATAGAGCAGTATAAACAAGTCATTGTAGTGACTTCACTAGTGCTTTTTTCTGTAGCCTGTTGTAATACTAGGCAAATATCTAGATGAGTTGATGTACCCCCTGGAAGACCTCTGCGTACCCCCAGGGGTATGCGTACCCTGGTTGAGAACCACTGCCTTAGCATATGTGTTAACTCCTTATGTTAAGCAACCTGTTCCACCTTGTACGGAGCTGTGACACTCCGAGTTCCCTTCCCAGACCTGAAGAAGAGCTCTGTGTAGGTCAAAAGCTCGTCCCTCTCACCAAGACAAGTTGGTCCAATAAAAGACATCACCTCACCCACCTTGTCTTGCTAAAATCCCAGGACCGACACAGCTACAACAACACTGCAAACAACAAAAAACCCTCCCTCCCATGGAGAGCTCTCTCCCGTCAGCACAGAGCGGCTACACGAACCGTCAGCGGCCTAGGTACAGCTTCTCCGCTAGTACAGACATGCCCTAAGTTAGGAGCATGGGCCCTTTAAGACTAGCCTAGAGGCTGCTCCCCTCCCCGGGGTGACCAGCTGACTTACAGGAGCAGTGCGATTTCCCGGCTTCCCATTAATAAGCCAACCCAGGCATCGCTGTTGGGTAACAGGGAGGAAGTGCCATCCGCCAGCCATTCGTAAAAGCTCAGCAGTCTCTGACGCCTGGCGTTCAATAGGGAAATACCACATCTCCACAGCAGAGATTCAGTCAAAGCCCTCAACGGAGCGAGGAGGAAATGGATAAAGCAGAACAACTGTAGCCCAGGGCATAGGCTTTGTCCAAACAAGCAACTTGCCAGGAGTCTCAGGGCTGCACTTCAGTTTGTCTCTGGGCACAGGCTGCAGCTGCCTTCCTCTTTAACGCTGCCACCTGCAGACTGCAGACCCCTCCATCTTGAAGAAGGGCTCATACATCAAGGTGGGGCGTGGCATGCTGGGACCCGTAGTCTCCGGGTGCTGCTGCCCTTCAGAGTGACAGACAAGGGCGGCCGGAGGCTGCGTGTGACCCTGCGGGCTGCTCTTGGCCTGACGGCTCCCCGAGCCTAACGCAATCGATAGGACTAAAGGGAGGTCATGCGGGGGTGCAGTGATGAAATCAATAGCTAAACAGGAAGATTTCTCTCATTCAGCCCACAAAATGTGGGGAGACGGCTCGGGGGATGGGGGAACCTTCCTCTCTAGGCATTGACAGGCCAAGTTGGGGGGGGACCCAGTTCACACCGACATCACCGGTCCCCTGCTCCAGAGTCAGTCTCCTAGGCTGCGCCCTTCGGAGCGTTACTCACCCTTGGGGCGGGTTCTTGTCCAGCCACCCGGCTTTGATGATGGGCAAGAGCTGGGTGGGGGCGTCCAACCCCTCTGTGCTGCCGCTGTGCATGCTGGAGCTGCGGGAGGAGACGGTGCCGCTGGACTGCAGGGTGCTCAAGCCATAGTCATTCCAACAGCTGCTGTCGCTGAGGGCAGGAGCAAAGGGGGAGATGCGGTTAGGAGCGGCCCATTAACCAGGAGGCTAACAGATCAGAAGGTCTGCACTCCGCTGGTCAAAAGGGTCCCCAGCTGTGACTTGCCCACCACCCTCCGCTCTCCGGGTTTGCCTATCTCCTCTCCATACCTGTAGCCCCAGGATCAGTGTCTGAGATAGAGAAGAACCTTCCTTCCCCTTAATGGGCAGGGCTGGCTAAAGCCAGGTGCAAGCAGAGCACTTCACACTCTTGCCCCAGCAATCACCCCTCATCCAAAATGCAAAAAAGCCTGTTTGTCACGCACAGACTTTGCCCGCATTCCTTGTCCTTGGGATAATGAATTACCCTGAGCCCAGGGTCTGGTTTAAAGCAGCAGTGCTGGCTGGGGGGCAGGGATAGGACTTAGTGTGTGTGCAGGAGTTGTACAATGACCCACGCAGTGGGGGCCCTGATCCCGAATGGGGTCTCTGTATACTACTGCGACGTAAATCTGAAACAAGAGTCACCAGGCTCCCCCTCCTGGATAAGCCAAGCCCAAGGAACAGCAGCCACAGGGAGGGTAAGTAATGCGAGATGGGGCTGGTTGGGCACAACGCTTTCCAAGGAGAACTGGGGCTGGTTGGGCACCAAAGGATCTCTCAGCGGAGAAGTCTCTGGGGCATGGCTCCTCCTTTCCAGTAGCGGGTGCAGCAAAGGGGTCAGCTTGGGGCCAGGGGCGAGTGAGCCCGGACACACGTGGGATCAAGCAGGGGCCAAATCCATCCCTGATGTAACTCTGTGACTTCATTGGCTGGAGCGGGTACAAAGAGCCAGGCCCGCTCTCTAAGGCGAGGACAGGCGCACAGGGAGGATTTGCAAAGAACATCTGGGAGCCATTCAGAGCCACCACAACAGACCTCACGGAGAGGGAAGGAAGGAGAGAGACAGAGCCCAGCCCTGTGGGTTCGTCTGGAGTTTGCGGTGGAGACCACAAACCTCATCTCCCTTCCACCCTGCCACAGCCCATCTCCCTGAGGTCCCTCTCCAGGACTAGAGCAAACAGGCTGCTCACCTCCCCCCGCCCAGGTCGCTCCCCCAGAGTGGCTGAGGCAGCTTCTGGTCTTCTGCTGGAATCTAACCATGTGCTCCACTACAGCCGAGGCACATCACCTCCACTTGGGGTCTGTAGTTGGGGTCACAGGTGCCGATTTCGTCCCCCACTCTGCCCCAGGCCCTGCCCTCACTCCACACCTTCCCCCAAGGCCCCACCCTGCTTTTCCCGCCCCTGCCCTGCCTCTTCTTGCCCCATTCCGCCCCCTCCCCTGAGTGCCTCCCGCCCTCACTCCTCCCCCCCGCACCTCCTGCACGCTGCTAAACAGCTGATCCACGGCAAGTGGGAGGCACTGGGAGGGAGGGGAAGGTGCTGATTGGCGGAGCTGCCGGCAGGCGGGAGGCGCTGGGGGGGAGGGAGAGGAGCTGATAGGGGGGCTGCCGGTGGGTGCAGAGCACCCACCATTTTTTTCCCATGGGTTCTCCAGCCCCGGAGCAACCACGGAGTCCACACCTATGGTTGGGGCTGATGATTAATTACCAGGAGAGGGGTCTGCAAATCAAAGTGACAGCAGCCTGTCACCCGAGACAAGCACAAAACCAGCCTATTTCTCCCCTCTCTCCGCCCGAGACTTTGATAGAAAAATGGCAATCGCTTACAGCTCTATGGGCCTTCCCGGCTCTCCAAAGCCCCCCACCCCGAGCAGTGTTCCTGACAGCCCAGTAAGGGAGCTGAGCCACGACGTCCACTAAGGACCAGGCACTTTCCGGTCGACCTTAAATGGAAGAGGCTCAGAATTCCTTGCGCCGGACCCTGAAATGCTCTGCTTATCCATAGGACACAGGCAGTGGTAGGGGAAAAAAATCACTCCCTGCCCCCAAAGGGCCCTCGCACTGCCCAGAAGGGGTCCGTGCTCTCCCGGGACCATACAGGTCTTGATCCGTTGCTGAGGCTGCCGACGAGGGGACGGCCGCTGCGGTGGGTTTGGAAGTTCCTGCCCTAGAGGCAGGGCCGGATGAAGGTTCTGAGGGACCTAAGGCTAATGGGAGGGAAAGGCCAAAGTACGAACGACATACTGCAACCAAAATGATGAAGTCATCAAACATTTCTCTACATACACTGGGCGGTGCCGGGCTCAGGCGATCAGCCCAGGGCAGCACGGGGCTCAGATGGTCAGCCCCAACCCCAATCCCAGGCAGCGCAGGGCTTGGGCAGTCAGCCCAGGGTGGCATGGGGCTCAGGTGGACAGCTCCAGTGCCAGGCGCCGTGGGGCTCAGCAGTCAGTCCGGGGCACGAGGCTCAGGTGAGCAGCAAAGCCAAGTGGCTTGGGACAGCCCCATGCAGGGTGTGGGATGTCTCAGGTGAGCAGCAACACCAGGCGGCTCAGGACAGCCCCGCACGGCGTCCTGCTTGCACTTGGAGGGAGGGATAGCTCAGTGATTTGAGCATTGACCTGCTACACCCAGGGTTGTGAGTTCAATCCTTGAGGGGGCCGCTTAAGGATCTGGGGCAAAAAATCTATCTGGGGATTGGTCCTGCTTTGAGCAGGGAGTTGGACTAGATGACCTCCTTGGTCTTTTCTAACCCTGATATTCTATGATACTTAGGAGGAAGGCAGCCTAAGAGAAGGACAGCATAGCATCCCTCCTGCTACCTCTTTCTCAGAAGTATCTGTTGAAGAATTGAGGGGGGTGCATGTCTGTATAAGGGTGAACACTGCAACAGTCCCCATCCTGCTCACCTCTTTCCACCTTGTGCTTCTACCCTGAGCTCCCCACATGCACACTGCAAAGCCAAACCCTGCAGGTGTTTCCCCCAAGCTATGGCCTCTACGCCACATAGCCTGTCTGGCTCAGACTGCAGTCTGGGAGGCAGCCAGCTTTTATTATGTAAAAGAAAACCACTCAGGTGTAAAATCCACTGAAGAAGAGGAAGTAGGAGTGGGGAAATAACATTGGGTGGCATTGTATTTTAGGCTGTCTTGCTCTGAAAGCTGCCTCCCGGTGTTGCACTGGCTGAGAACAATGACTTACTGTTTTGACATTGAACCCAAATATTAGTTGTGGGATGATACCCAGTTTGTGTAGTTAATCGCTCTGCCACAATTTGAATAATAGAATAGAATCGTAGGACTGGAAGGGACCTCGAGAAGTCATCTAGTCCTGTCCCCTGCACTCATGGCAGGACTAAGTATTGTCTATTCTAGAATGTGTGATCAGCAGCTCTGACATGAGGTTTTTAAAGCACCAGCCCCCTACAGTTTGCATTTGTTTGTTTTAAGCTTTCTGTAAGAAAAAGGTAACAGCTAGAAGTGACAATGATTTAGTTGTTGTTGGTCCTGCTTTGAGCAGGGGGTTGGACTAGATACCTCCTGAGGTCTCTTCCAACCCTGATATTCTATGATTCTATGACACAGAACTTTAGATGGCTGCCCAGTCATAATATTTAGCACTTCTGTACTATGTTAGCTCTTCAAAATCATTGTACAAACATTAGACAAACTTAATCTAAAGCCTTTCAGCTTTTGAATGACTAGGAGTTGACAAAACAGAGCTATTCCCTGTTGTGTTCTCTGCCCCCCTGAACAAATAGACTTCACTGAAAATCAGCATCTTAAAAGAACGTTTCAGGATCTTTCAAAAGAACAGTCCAACCAAGGCTGCTGTAGTGACACCCTTGTTACATCAGGTCTGGTGTTTGTTTAAGGCTGGTGTAGAACGTAGGGAGAGCTTCCTGTTTTGTTTGCATGTGTAAATCAAGCAGACCTTGCTTATTTTTTCCCCTTAAAGTGCTCAGAGTTTAGGGGAGGAAAGTGAATGAGATTCTGCTTATACCACATGTGAAAAAGCAGAAGGGACCAAAATCTACTCTTGTGCAAAAATCTCTTCTCCCTGAAGTCAATAAGGTTACACAGTTGTGACTGTCAGCAGGAATTGGCCTGTGATCTCATTCCCGTCTCGAATCACATTCCAGGCTTACCCAACGTATTCCACTCTGGAAAGAAGTTAGTTTGAGTTGGGGCAGAAAAATGAGGACTCACTTTAGGATGATTTAGCTTTAAGTTTTTGGAACGAAACTCAAAAGAAAATCAAATGTGAGGTACTTTTATGATGGATTGAACTGCTAGAGAACCAGCAAATGGACAGAACCTGCCTTTTGCCTATTCAGCCAGTCTTTCTATCTTAGCCTGCTACAATGTGGATTGCTCCCCATCCTGTAAGAAAACCCTCTATTGCGGATCTAACAATACTGCCTCTTCCCCCTGCCACCCCCTTGCCCTGCCCCCACACAGGCACTCACCAGTTGTCCAGAAACTGGACCCAGCACACACAGAAGATGACGGTGATAGGCACTAGGACCCAGGAGGCAGCGTCCTGGAGCTGCCTGCCAGCCTCAGCCGAGGAGAGGGGCAGAGGGAGCCTCTTCCCTCCCTGACAGCTAAGCAGAGCTCCGGAGAAATTGGGTTGGGGGTGCTGGGGGGGGGCACGGCAATGCCTGCCCGAACGACACCCACGGCTGGCACGGGTTCCCGTGGTAACCGGATTTTTAGTGTCCGGTCACCAGTGTTAACCGGATCCCTGGCAGTGTGTTCCTGCAGTGCGGGGAGACCGGCTGGCTGCGGGCTGAGCTCCTTCCAAGCCATGGGGGGGCTGCTTTGCCTTTCCTGCTGGCAGGAGCGCCCCAGCAGGGCTGCGTGAGCAAGCTCCCCGCCTCGTCGGGCCCCGGCGCCCCCTGCCTGGCCAGGAGGGCCTTAAAAAATAGGAGGACCTAAGGCTATAGCCTTATTAGCCTAATGGTTCCAGCCAGCTTCCCGCAGGCCTGGATCACCCAACAGCCCTTGAGCACTGTCTGGGCATGGGCCTGAATCAGTGAGCTGGCCACAAACATCTCCTTCACCCACTGCCAATCTGCCACTGGCGTGTGGGCGACTGCCCCTCGGCAATGGCTTCTGTGCTGATAG